AATACCCTTTAAAATAGAAATTAAAAAAAGTTAACAACGGAAAATAAAATGTTTTGATGTCAAGTTGTGACGGCGATGCACGGTGGATCTGTCATTTCGACACGTCATCACACACAAAGCTTCAAGAAAAATCTATAGAAAAAACAATCAAAAATCTAGAAACGGACTAAACACTACATGAGATAACCTACAATTTGTTGTCAAACAAATATTCGCGTGGATTTAACGCTGTCAAATTTAGTCGAAGAYAATGAACCGTACAACTCTCGCCGCTCTCGTTGCCATAWAATCACAACGTTTGTTACACCTTTTTACACGATTTTAAGGCACTTGTTTGACTTATCTACTTCAGTCACTTCTATAAACGCACCGGAGGGGAAAGCAGGGTCAGAGACAATATGATCACTAGTAACACCCCCCTCCTCCGTTGTATACACTAGTAACACCCCCCTCCTCCGTTGTATACACTTAGGAAAGATCATAAGAGATGTGATGATCCTGAGACTGGACCAGACCCGACCAGTGTGTGGAGAAGAATCGTCTTTTAACCAAAGAATGTCACGAGCGACTCTCATGTAGTTAGCCTATAATTAGAATATTTCAGTAAAGATATAGTATTCTACGTGGGAGAGAAACCTTATATCAACGCTGATGTCAATGATACTAAAGAGAGTAGAAGACAAGGAGAGCAGCCTTTGTATGAGTATTTTGAAGAAATGATGGCGTCGAGTCAACGGTGAAGGTTGTGACGGTGATACTGTTATTGGAACAGCTGACATCAAAGCGTTGTATCCGAACCTTGATATAGACTTCGCTGTGGGGAAGATCTTCGAGCTGCTCTACGAATGTGACACTACTTTTGAAGATGTTGACTACGATGAGTTAGGACTATGGTCCTGCCCCTCAAWGTTGACTAAGAAAAGCTTACAGAGCTCGGCCTTGAGGATGTATGCCCCAAAAGAAGATCAAAACGAGGGGAGGCCGCCTAAAATGACAGAAAGCGGAATTCAAGACCAAAAAGAGAAAAGSTTCGCACCATGGCTCCCGCCGACCAACACTCCAAGCGATACAGAGCGAAGAAAGATGATACAGAGCGAAGAAAGGCGATTTCGTATGAGTGGGAAACGGTGATGACGAATCGTATTCATGGATTCTGATTTGTAAGCATTTTTTTCTGCTCACACCTGATTGGATTGATTTGTATGTACCGTAGTTTGCCGAACCGTTAGTTCGATTGTTGATTGGATGAATACGACACTTATCGTATCGCACGTTACGGTTCCGTAAGCTGTACCGTAAGTTCGATCATTTATTGGGTAAATACGGTGCTCGCGTGATACCGTACTTTAGCCGTATCGTAAGCGTGATTCCTGATTGGCTGAGAGACTTTCTACTGACAACTGGTCTACGTCATCTTGTCACACAACACTAGTTGTTGAATTCTCGCCACCTGTTTTTGCAAAGTTTTCGACCGACAAAATTCGATCAGAAAAGCCTTTAAAGGATAAATGTCAATGGGAATCAGTGTTTTGTAAGTAGAGATTTTATAAAATGACTGGAAGATGTTGAGATTTGAAGATATTCCTCTATTTTTTCGGCATTTCGAGACCTCAATGCAGGGGTCGATCTTTAGAGAAAATATAATGATGTATTCTTGGTATCTTGATGTCAGCTTGATAAAATGATCTTTTTTRATAAATAAACCATTTGAATTAGCTTTTATTTGTATTTATTTGAGCAATTTTAAGCAGTGAGAATATTTGCAATTAATTGCGTAAAAGTTTTTAGTTTGTCAAACTTTCGGGTATTCAAGCACTCGCGTGTGACATGTTCAGTCGGTAATTATAAGCATAACTAAGTTTAAAACTCATCGACAAATGAGTTTGGCGTAGGTTCCGGGATGGGCTCAGATTACAGCGGTATACCCCCAGCAAGGAGGTAACCATGGCAACCAGGCCACAGCCCACCACCGGTACCCGTCACACTGATAAACAGTGGAGTGTATGCTATACTTACCGGACGGGAAGAGTTGAATGTGTGTGATATACTTACCTAAGACCAAAACCAGAGGAGGGAGGGTGGGGATAACTTTATATCAGCMGCGTAAAGCTTGCATAAATGCTAAGAGAAGCACGAGGCAAGCAGGCGCATGCGCCATAGGGGTACCGATGAAACCGCTGTCTACCGAATTTGTCTTGGTTTTAACTTCGCCTAAATTACAATTTAGCCCCATTTTTTTACTGCTTGCTTAACAATTCCAAAAAACAAATTAGCCTTTTTTGTTGTGATTATCATGAATTCTTGCGATTAACTTAAGAAAGAATCGAATGAATCCGTACCGTAGCTGTACCTTAGCTGTATCGCGTCAGCATACAAAATCGACTCTAAATGAAGCCGTAAATGTACCGTTGAAGTTTGTTATGAAAAACCACGTGTCTTTCGACAATGAGATAAGACAACAACGAAGTGGAGGACCAATAGGATTGGATTGGAACTTACAGGTGTCAACAACTAAAGAATAGACTTGCGTGCTTAGGAGTCAAGATGTACAAGAGATATGTCGACGATAAAAACATCGTAATAGGAGCAGYTAAACCTGGAATGTCGGGGATTATTCTGAAAGATTTCCGGAGTCTTCCAGGGGGCGCTTCGTGTCATTTCCGGGCCATCNGGTACTTGGACCACTATTGTTTAACTTATTTATTAACGACATCACTGATAACATCAATTCCGAAATAAGACTCTTTGCAGATGATTGTGTTTGTTACAACATCATCAAATCCAACAGTGACTGCGAAAACCTTCAGAGTGACATCAATAAACTTGCATTATGGGCTAAAAAATGGAGTATGTCATTCCAAACATCCAAGTGTAAGACCATGAGAATATCCCGGAAGACTAAAAATAACATCGTCTATTTATACTCCATGCAGGATACCCCACTTGAGACTGTAACACACATGAAATATCTTGGTGTTACTATATCTTGTGATCTAAGATGGAATCGACATACTCATGATATCTGTAATCGTGCAAACAAGATGCTTGGCTTACTTAGACGAAATCTATACAGCTGCAATCGTGATGTGAAGCTTGCTGCTTATCATGGCCTCATAAGACCAATCCTTGAATATGCAAGCCCTGTGTGGGATCCTCACACAGCTGCGCTCACCAGTGAAATAGAGAAAGTCCAGCGCAGAGCAGCGAGGTTTATTTCATCAAATTACATAACGAGTTTCCAACCTGGAGGAATGACAGAAATCTTGCGTCAACTAAAACTAGAAACACTTGAAAAACGTTGTAAAATAGCAAGGCTAACTCTTTTCAACCAGGGTATAAACAAGATGGCAGTACTGCCACTTAATGATCTTCAAGTTCCTACAAGAAGACTAAGGAACATGCATGCAATGTACTTTAGACCGTTATTTGCTAGAACCAATATATATAAATTTAGTTTTTTACCTAGAACTATCATTGATTGGAACGAAATCCCACAGAACATTATCGAACAAAGTAATCATCACATTCAATTTGTTAAATTAATAACAACACGACAGTAATCAAATATTATAATATTGTAATATGCATCAAACCTCATGCGCTGTGCAATTTATTTTTTGTTCTCAAAAGGTAGCACAATAAAACTTAAGTGAAGTGAAGTGAAGGTATAATTCGGTGCACACTATACTACTATCATAGACTATACATACATCATAAAAGAAGTGAGAAAACTAGCAGTTCGTATGTTATATTCCCGATCATATTAGCCAAAAATCAAGCRAAATAATACTGAAGTTGTCATTCAAGTACGAAAATGGCATAAAGTACATATCGTCCAGACTGTACTACCGACCTATCACGTGATTGATATATACTGTTATTAATTAGTAGATTAAGTTTTCTGTCCATTCGGGTGAACACAAACATGGTTAAAAAAGGATACCTTTCACTGGAATCAACGATTGCGTGTCTGCAAAATTAGTGTTATTATTATTTTTTATTTCTTTTATTTCATTTAACCATGATACCATGATTAAATACCATTAAATACATTTGATACCATGGTTCTGATCTGAATTTCGCCTGTTTTGGACTTCCGGTATCGAATCGAAAACATACCCTATTAGAATAACGATTATTTGCTAGAGGACATTATCAAATACTGTAATTTTATGTTTTTCTCACAGAGCGAGAACATAAAAATATTCATGAGAAGTTTGACTACGAATAGTCGTTCGGGTTTTGTCTTAAGAGCCTTTATTAATTTAGAGAATTTCTTAGTTTCGCGATCGATTTTCRACTAAATTTGCAATCAACCTCTAAAACAATGAACAAACATTTTTTTCGAAAAATGTGTAYCAATATGAAGTAAACAATTAAATGATAGGGCTCTGTAGTCAAAGTTTGCGTTGGGGTGATTTTTGGGTCATTTCCAAYGTCGCTCGATTCTTGCACGGAGTGGCTCTTACGTTTTTTGAAAATTTACTGAGTGCTTCAAGAGTATCATAAATGCATTTTCAATCATCGCAATTTACCCTTTACGACACAATTTGCTTTCATATGTAATTATATGATAAACAGAATATTACAGGGTCGGTTGGAGATACGAATTCTATSTTCTCCTGATATAGCGCACGCAGATTCACAATAATACTAAAATACTAATTAGATCATTTATTTTTTTAAAAATTACCACTTTCAACTATTTCAAATGTATGTATGCCTTTTATTCGTCCTACCAATTGCGATGATTAAAAATGCATTCATGAAGCTCTTGCGAAGCAGAAAAAAAATATAAACAATTAAAAATATGAAAAGACAAAGGATTTTTTTAATTGATTTCGTAATTTTGTTTATATACTTAGGGGTATGATTTCGGTGAAAAACCACAAAAGTGTTTTAATTTTATAATACAAGCATATTTCAATCCCAAATATTTCAAGTCTAAATATTCTATAATATCCTTGCATTTTTTATTAACTAAAGGCATAAAAGAGTTAACAGATGGCAAATGTTCARGAGCCGAAGCCAACGCTTTTGTTCTTTCTTGGCTCTTGACGATCTATTACAAGTGTTCAAGGCATCGCCCTCTAAATAGTTTTGCTATTCTAGAACGCCACTGATTACTAAATTGGCGGGACAATGAATTGGTCAATTCAAGGTCTTCTTTTCATATTATTTCTAAAATTATACAATGTTTCTTGTATATTTGAGCGCGACAGAGATCTCGAGTACGACTTCTACCCAGGAAGATTGTCCGTGCTTCCAGTTTCTGCTGAGCAAAAGTCTGTTCAAGTTGTTGACAAGTTTGACTGTGCGTTCAGCTGTACTGAAAACCACTGGTGTAGATCTGTGAACTTTAGAAAATCACCTCTTCGAAGTGGTCTGCATGCTTGCGAATTACTGTCTTTGGATTTCTACACAAATCGCAAAAATATCACTTTAGATAGTCGTTACAATCACTACAGCGTCAAGGTATGTTAGTGTTAAGATTAAAAAGAGTCATATGTCATATAACAGACATTAAAAAACAACAACAACAACGTACTATTCGAACCTATCAAGACCGAATTAAATGGCACAAATTTTGCCTACAACCATCGCATGCAACTCCTGCGTAACATTAGGCAAAACTTGTGCCGTCCAATTCGCCTTTAAAGAGACATGGTGAATCAACATTCAATGTGGTCGTGTTTTAGATTTTCATCTATAAAAAATGAGGTGACTTCAAATATCATTCCGTAAAACCGACGGATGGAAACGGATTCTTGCGAATGATATTTGAAGTCACCTCATTTTCCATAGATGAGAACCTAAAAGATCGAATCCTAAAATATTCAATGTATTTTATTTCCAAACTTAAACAAAACCCGAAAGGTATGCCCGGGGACCATGGCGTTTACTGACAATTTTTGTTGTTTTACAACCAGCTAAAACAATTCTATATACCTAAGTTGGTGTTCTTAACAAGTCATATATAATTGAAAAGAAAAATAATTGTCGACTGGGATATTTTATTCGGGATAATTCCCTGTTGCGAACTKCTGTCATGTCATGACGTTCGTGGGCATTGCTACAGCGCACGTTTTCTGCGCATGTCAAAACCGGTAGTTGTCACGAAATTGCATCACGCAAAACAAAGATGGTGACCTCCATTTTTATCGCTTTTTTGCAAGTGTATGTCATCGCGTATTTCCCAAAAAAAAATTAATCGAAGTGACATCACGGAGTCCATTGTCCACGAACGTCCTTGATGTCATATCATAGACATTTGCAAGGTTTTAAATCAGTTTGAATCAGTGTGCAGACATGTAGTTTAGTATAGACTAGCCGTCCTTCCGTGTGGGATCAAAATCCTTCAATTGTGGAACAATACACATGCTCATTAGAAGTTAGTTTAATTGCATTATCACTGTTTTTGCATTTTTTTAGCTTTTTACTGGGAGTTCCAAAGGAATCCCGAGTTTAAATTTCGGCCTTCTTTTTTGTCGTCGCTTATGAGTCACAAATTGCTCACAGGTAGTCCAAGCCCAGCAATATTTTTTTGTCATAATGCGGACCTAAATTAAATGTTTAGCTAAATAAGTTCAGTGCACAGAATAGTGTGTAAGAACTGGCTGCTAGTATGAGCAGTTCAAAACAAATTACTATCTCAAAAACAGTTGATAACAAAAGAATTTTAAAAATCGAACAATGAACACAAGCACAAGCCTACGGGCCTATAAATACTATTAATATGCATGGAACCGTAGACTCTA